TTAGGGTTTTTAGGGTTTAGGGTTTGTAGGGTTCAGGGTTCAGGGTTCAGGGTTGAAGGTTTAGGGTTCTTTAGGTGTTCTAGACTAGGGATTTCTGAGGTCTTGAAGGGTCGCCTTGTCGGGGTCTGTCAGATTTATAAAGTCTGTTTGTGTACCCAAGTGTGATAGGGTTGTACAGGCATTCATGGGGTTGTGTAAGGTTTCAAAGGCTTGGGTAGACGGCCTCAAACAAGGAATCTTTGGAATTTCGGGCAGCAAAATGGAGCCTGATTAAGAAACCCTGAATCTCTATCAGGGTTCGTTTTCCAATCCTAAGATTTTGGGGCTTTGGGGTTTTAGGGCCAGAATTTGATAATCAGGTCCCTAAACCCCTAAACCCCTCATCCGGTTCCTACGTTACACCCGAGGCGACCCTGCGGCCAATTTTCCTGTCACTAAATGCGTGGTTGTCAAAATTATGGTCCCTTTTCTGGGTACCCTGAATATTAGGTGCCGTATTATAATAGGGACCCACAAAGGGACCATAATTTTGACAACCGCCCAAATGGGAATTGAAGGCTTCAGAGTTCCCAGAACCCCCTAAGTGCCTGAATGGTTTGGGGTTGAAGAGAAGGACAGCAACAAACGATGACCACCACACATGATTCCTGCTCTGCAGGCTCTTAAGCCTACCAGTGTGAGCCTTCTCGTGGTGAGTAACTATTGACTATTGCGATTCTTGATACAGTAGTGTTAAGCATTGCAACTAGATCTATGTTGCTACGGCTATCTGCGTTCTTAGTCTGCGTTCCGTACCTGCACCTGAAACCGCTACAAGCATAGATTTTATGTAAGTAGTGTATGTTAAGGAAAACTGGTGACAATGCAGTGCAGTAAGGTATCATTCGTCTTCTTCCTCCTCCTCCAGCTACTACATACCAGTGCAAACGTGACGTAAACGATGCCCCAATAAAACTCAAACCCCAGTTAGCAACAAAGCATGGCTCTGAGCCTAAAGCCCTCAAACTCTCAAGCTCCCAACACCCGAAACTGTAAACAAACCCAAAACCCAAAACCCGAAACCCTAAGCCCGAAAACCCCTCAACCCGAAACCCTGCGCCCCGAAACACCCGCCTCGGGTGGGCGCAGCTGCTCGAAAAGCTCAGGCGCCTTCGTCGGGTGAAGGGTTTGGCATTTTAGGATTTAAGATTTAAGCTTTGGGGAACTGGGGCTTTAGGGTCTAGGATTTTAGGGCTTTAGGGCTTCAGCGCGAAATCCCGTGACGGTGCGACGGTGGTAGCAGCAGCAGCAGCAGCAACAGGAGCGGCAGCTGCAGGAACAGGAGCAGCCACATTGCTGCACTGCAGCCATATGGAGTTTTCTAACGCAAAAAGAGTCACGTTCGCCAAGACAGACAACACTATGTTTCGACTGTCTCCGTGAAACACTGGTGAGCGATTGCAAGCTGTGGGCCAACTCCAAACGCGTCCTGATGGGACTGCTTTGCTGTAGACCTGGATTTGAGTTCTTGGTAGTTTAAATAATCCAGAACGTTTGCAGGTATTGCATACAGCACCTAGGAAGAACTGCTGCGCACTTGGCAAGGACCTTGCCATTGCTGCAAGGTTCTTCTGTTGAACAGGTGGGAGAATTGTCCGATTTTCTTCGTTGGCCATTGACTGGCTTGGAGGAACTTTTGGGCGCCAGGTCTAATGGGCTTGGTTTGTGGGATCCACAAGCGCCGAAAACGCGCCACTAATGCGGTGAAGAAGTCCAAGAACAAGGCTTCTTCTGGTGATCCAGCGTAGTTTGGGGCTTGACGTCGGCAAGACTTGGTGCCTGGGGCTGGTAAACCATGAGCCTCAGAGAAACTTTCCACCAGTGCCTTGTAGTCTTCCACATCTGGTGCTTTCGATCGAACCAGCTTGAAGTCTTCATCTTCCCATTTGCGAAGCTCGCAGCAAACATGCTGCAGATCGACAAACCCAAAGACGGCACTCCAACCGACCAGGTAATGCTCAATTATCTGCTTGCATGGAGGAATCAATTGCATGAGCGCGCGCTGTGCTGCTTCGTCTGAAAAAAGCTTCTGGGGCAACCCTGCCAACCTGTCGGAGGACCCATGGTTCATTATTTATGCACGAGACAAAACAAAAAGAGTTTTGAGCAGCGTGAAACGAAACCCGAGCCGCCTGGCTGCCACTGCTGAGCCCCTGAGCCAATGTGCACAAGCGCTCCCTGCGCAAGCTGCACTGACTGAAGACTCCGAAGCGCCAGATACCGCACGAAGCAGCGCATTCCAGCAAGCCCCAGGCGCACCAAAAGCACATGAGCACTTTCGGCGGACACAAGTTGTGCTTGCACATCAGCATCTACCATACCTGCGTGCGAGCATTTCCCCAAAACACAGGTCGTTCACGAAAAGGTTCCCACTCAGATTCTCCCAATTCCTGGCCTGACAAACGCATCGCTGCTTCGATAAGAAATTGTATGAGAATTTGCTTTAGGATTGACACGTCATCTGCAGCATCAGTGACTTTTGGAGAGACGCGATGCCCGACGTTTCGGACGGCCTTGTTGCTTGACGCCAAAAGCTCGTCCTTACGGACGAAGTTATCGCAGCAAAGAATGCCAAGGCAAAAACAAAGAACAAACGACAAAACACCTTTACTGTACCACTGAGCATCCTTCAGTCTTCTTTCATTTCGCCACTGAGTGCTTCCATGCGTTGCCCTTCTGGGCTCGAAGTTGTCGCAAAGATGCCCGAGCAGCCTCCACTTGCCCTGCTTCCACCCAGACACGGACGTTGTCCAGCTGTACACTCGCACGAGCAGCCATGGGGCGACACACAAAAAAAACGAAGCTGCAAAGTCGCAGTGGCAGTCGCGGTGGCAGTAGCGGTCGCGATGGCCGTGGCAGCGGCAGTCTGAGTAGGACGAGTACAAGTAGGAGTCGGAGTAGGAGTAGGGGTAGGGCTAGTGGTTGTGGTAGGGGTCGGGGGTCGGGGGAGGAGCAGGAGTAGTTGTAGTAGTAGTCGTCGTCGAGGTGGTGCCGGTGGTGGTGGTGGTGGTGGTGGTGGTGGTGGTGGTGGTGGTGGTGGTGGTGGTGGTGGTGGTGGTGGTGGTGGTGGTGGTGGTGGTGGTGGTGGTGGTGGTGGTGGTGGTGGTGGTGGTGGTGGTGGTGGTGGCGGCGGCGGTGGTGGTGGTGGGATATAGAGTAATAAGAACAAAAAGCTATTGTTTATTGCACTCGGCATAGCCGTAAAGGTAGTCTGCTAGCAGAGTGCCAGCAGCAAGAACACTAAACAACGTCACAACGAAGTTACACGACTCAGAACAAAGCAACCTTCCTGCTCGCCAGACATCTCGGATTTGCAGTTGGGGCTTCGGGTCGCCTACCTTGTTGAGCTACCATACCCTACTTCATGTGGGTCCAGATACAATCATGGCGACAGGTGGATTGCAGTACTGTAATTAGGCGCCTTAATAATCATAATTAGAGTAAGGTTTGGGGGGGGGTATAGTATACTGGAACTGTAATAAGGAACCTCCAAAATCCTGTTCTAAGCATTAACCCCCCTACATTACTTGATTGGGGGGAAGGCATAGGCTGTGAATCCTGGTCTCGCCGGGCCTTGTAGCTCTCGGCTAACTGGTTGGGCGTCGGGTGTGTGCGGTGAGCCAGTCGAAAAATCATCTTTGTTTTAGTCTCACATCACACGCTTCAATGTGTATGAATACCCAGAAAGCCTTAAGCGCGAAGACACTTGTAAGCAAAAGCATGCTACAAAATCTCTACCGGACCCGAGGGACCCCATAAACCTTACCACGAAGCATACACTGATTCGTCTAGCCCCCAAAAAATTGAACACAACAACGGTGTAACTACCCTACAAACCCATAAAAAGCCAACCATGCAAGCACTTTACGAACACTAGGCAGCAAACTGCTCTCATAAGTCGGGTTTCTAAACCCCCAACCATGAACCCCTAAACCCCTATAACCCTAAAACCCTCAACCCCGGAGCCCCTCCACCCAAACCCTGAAAGGAACCCTGAAAAGACCCCTTAAAGGAAAACGCCAGAAGGACTCCGTAAAGGAACCCAAGAAGGACCTCTTAAAGGACCCCTTAAAGGAACCCTAAACCCTAAACCCTAATCCTTAATCCCTAAAGGCCCTAAATTTACACAAAACCCTAAAACCCTAAAACCCCATAAACCCTAAAAAAGATTCCTAAACCCTTTCCCTGGGCGCCCGGCCAAGGACGTCAGGCGCGCCGCCTTTGCCCTGGCCTCGGCAGCCGTCGCCCGAATGCCTCATAAAAGGGCACTTGGGGTCTAGGGATGACCTTAACCTACCAAACCCTACTTCTTTTGTAGGCTCTTTTTTGTAAACCCTAATATGGGATTTATAGGGGCCCTACAAAAAAGCAGGTTTTGGTAGGTTAAGGGAGGGACTAAGGTTTAGGGATTTAGGGTTTCGGGGTGTAGGGATCAGGGTTTGGGGATCAAGGGTTGAAGCTTAGTATTTAGGTTTTATAAGGTTTAGGGTTTAAGGCTTATAAGGTTTAGGTTTAGGGTTTAAGGCTTATAAGGTTTAGGTTTAGGGTTTAGGCTTTAAGGTTTAGGGTTTAAGGTCTATCTAGCATTCCATCAAACCGCTGCACTTTAGGATGTTCGGCTTTTGGCAGTTGGGGGTTTCCGAAATCGGGGACCCGCATATAGTACCCTAAATAGTAGGAACCCTATTCTAAGGACCCCATGGTAAGGTACCCTTACTTTTCGTAAACTCCGAGTTGGCGCGGCTAGAGTTTAGGGTCGGGGTGTGGTTCCGCGTTTCGGGCCATGCTATCGGACTGGGAAGTGTAGCGTAACTAATATTTAGGGTTGCAGCCCCCTACTGTTGATGATATACATCCTGCATTACTTTCAGGACAATAAACTATGGGAAGTATGGTACATGCCTTCTTATATGGGGAATGCAGGACCTATATCATCAACCGCGTGAAGCACTTTTCGCCGCTCAATACCCCCTGGCGAGGTCCACGAGGTAGTCCGGCATTTTGCCCTCCAGGACAAAACGCCGGGCGACTGCGCAGAAGTATTCCGCAGACTCCTGCGCGGCACGGGGGCTCGGTTTAGGGTAGGGTTACAGGGGTTTAGGGTCAAGGGTTTAGGATTAAGGGTTTCGGGTTAAGGGTTTAGGGTCAAGGGTTTAGAGTATTGGGTTAAGGGTTCAGGGTTTCGGTAAGCTTTTTGGAGCCTGGCTCGGCTACGAATTGCAGTAGATTGGGTTTTGACTCTTGTATTGGAATTGAAAATTCACGGTCGATGTCGAGGGAGGTCCATTACCAGGCTCAGGGTGACCTCAAAACAGACAAAACATGTGATCTACATCTACTGGCTTGCAACCCAGGAAACCCTCCACTCTGAACCCGGAACCCGGGACCCCTTGCAATCCCGAATCTGAGCCCTAAACGACAAATCGGAAATGCAAATTCTCAACTTCTGCATCCTGAACCCTAAGAACTAAACCCTAAACCCTAAAACCTATAACTACTATTATTACTTAAGTTTAAGTTGTTATAATTCAACCAAAGCCCTTCAGCCCAAAAGTTTATATGCTTTAAGCTTCAAGCCCAAGATGTACTCCTCGTTCATAGACAGGCTGATATCTGCGTTATGAGGTGTCAGAAGGAGCTGCGAGGCCGGAAGGACATCTTCTCGCCTTGGTTTGCTGTGGTCAAGGGCCTGCTGGGTGAGAGTCATCACGCCGAAAATTCCCAATACTATTCTTACCTGCTGACTCGGGCCCGCAGTGCGTAATGTTGCTGTGTTTCGAATCTTCGTTTATATGGTTAACATTACATATCTCAAATCTTATGACTGCCAATACTCTGTCACGGTCTTCGGGTCTGTCTCTCGTGAAACACGGTACACCCGTAATCTTTACCTCAGCTTGGAGGTAAATCCTCTGATGATCGGCGGGGCCCCCTAGACTCTGAAATTGGAGGGCGTAAATGCAAACTATAACTTCCATTTATGCCTAGAGGGTCCATACTAGCTACTTTTGGTGGTTCATATATAGAACCCTATAATTCCACAAAGGGTTTTACTATGGAGCGTATGGGTGAGTGCCTCAACCCGAACCCTCTAATGCCCAAGCCCGGAGACCCAACACAACGCAACCCAAACCCTGAACTCCGAAGCCTCAATCCCTAAACCCTCAGTTAGAAGCCCCTTACAGGTGGGTAGTTCTTCTTCCATAGTACTCCCATAAGACCCCCTTTACCTTGTAGGAGTGGTATGGGAGGCTTATGGGAAACTACCCACCATATAACTACCCACCTGTAAATGGCTTAGATCAGTGCTAAAACCCGAAGACCCTATCACCCTGAAACATCCGAAAACCATCAACCCATTCAACCCTCAATCCCTTAGCCCCTAACTCCTAAACCCCTATACCTATAGTCTCCATTGTAGTTCCTTTTTTTGGTTAACCAAAATCTCTTTATAGGATCCTACCCATAAAACTGGACAACAAAAAAAGGAACTACAATGGAGACTATAGGTAGGGTTCACTCTCTTCTCCAATAACCAGGCCCAAACAAAGTTCAAACTTTTTAAGCTAGACCAAATATATGAAGCCAAAAAGTTTAAAGTTCTCCAATAGGCTAAGTAGTTCAACTTGGGCACCAGAACGGAGACTCCAGTGGAAGGGGCTCGGTCTGGAAGACGTCCAACGCAGCCCCGCGGAGGTGGCCGCTCTGGTCGCCGGGGGTTGGGTCTAAGGCATATGGGTGGTTGTCAAAATTATGGTCCCGTTTTGGGTCCCTGAATTGATACGGCACCTAATATTAAGGGACCATAATTTTGACAACTTCGCGTTGAGGGTTCAGGGTTTGGGGTCAAACTAATTAGCAAAGGGTTTCGAGCATTTTGTGCCACGAAGATATTTCAGGAACCCCAACGAATAGTATTGGTAGTTGTTCAAGATTCTGTGTTATAGTTGTTTTTCTTGCGCTGCTTAATACGGGGTTCGTTTACGGTTCAACGAGGTGTGACTTTTTTGTTGGTTTCATGAGGCTTTCCTGGTTTTCATGAGATTGAAAACCTGGTAAGTTCCTGATATCAGCCCCTTGATATAATACTCTAGACCCTAAACTCCTAAACCCTAAAAGCCCTAAAACCCTGAGCCAGCCTCCAGGTGCTTCAGGAGGGCGGCTTCCTCCACGCTGGAGCCCCGACCGATGTTGATGAAGAGCGCCCCCTTCTTGAACCTGAGTCAGAGACTAATGTACGGGCCTTAATGATTCGAATAGGGTTTTGGGCTCCTTAATATCTAAATTTTAATCAGGAGCCCTAAGGCCTAAGGAATCTGCATTAAACCCAAAGACTCGCAGATCTCTTTGGTGCAGAATCCTTATACACAAGAGATCCGCTACTTTCTGTGAGGTTCCTCAATCGTTAGAAGAGGCTTCCAGGGCAGATTCAGGAAGAATTCTATAGGGACCACCAAGGGAATCGACGGCATCGACCACTGGTTTCTCAGACCTTTGTAATAAATGTCTTCCTTATGTGGGCCTTTAGGGAAGCCCCTCTGCAGGAACTGCGTAGCCGACAGCAGAAGACACCGGACGAAGAAACCACGTTTCGTACAGGACCCGAATGTTCGGGTCCCTGTTGATGTCCCTTTTAATTTTAAAGTGGGATACATAATCCCTTCAAGGTGGGGAGGTCCATGATTATTTTAGTCAGGGCTTCCTTGTAATCATAAAGACCTAACTCCTACCCTTGACTCTAAACCTTAACCCTGAAAACCTCCCTGAACCCAAAGAAATAAAGAAAAGGAGCTTGCTGAAGCGCGCATCGTCAAACACTTTCTCAGTCGCAGGGGTTTTGGGCAGTACGGCCACGACGATGTCTGCTTCAGGCAGGATCCGCTCATCCATCGCAGCGTTGCCGAACACGACCTGTCGGCGAGGATTCTAAACCACGTCGGAGCAAGAGTCAGAGAGTGAGAGTACAGTGTCAGAGTAAATAAAGCAAAAGACACTAAGAGCAAGTGTCGACAAGATCGTGAAAACCTTTGAGCTCAAAACCCCCAAACCTTAAACCCATGAGCCCTAAAGCCCCAAACCTCTACCTAGACCCCCCAAAGTAGGTAAAATAATGGCCCAACACCAATAAAAGGCAATTATTCTACATACCTTGGGGGCCCAAGTAAGCCCCTTTTGCTCTGCGATGAAAACCTCCTCAGATCTGCGGTGGAAGGAGATTTATGGGCTGCCAGTAGGGTTTACTTAGTTGCTGAATTCATAAGACCCAAAAAATGTACACGAGGTCTGGGATTTTGGGCTCAGGGAATATCATTTTGGCTTAGTTGTTGAGTTCGCAAGCCCCCCCAAGAAGTGTACATTCTCAGTTTTATAGTGGGTAATATTATCTCCAAAAAATGTAAAGTGTATCCACTCAGCTCAAAAGTTTAGGTTTTTGTCTCCGACGCTTAAACCCTCGATGTCTGCTTTAAGAACTGAGGGACTCAGGAAGAGGGTTCAGGTTTGGGTGTGGGGTCTAGCGTAGAATATTCGGGAAGAAGGGCAAAGAACCGTAGGTGGTGGTAGAAGTAGCTATACTACGGTTGATGATATAAATCCTGCATTACCTTAAGGACCCTAAACTATGGGAATTATGGTATATTCCTTATTATGGGTAATGCAGGATTTTTGTCATCAGCCGTAGCACCATAGTTGCGCCACGCACAACACTGTATCATCTTATAACCCTGCCTACGTCGCGAAATCCTTTTGCAGACAAGCAAACGACAGCCTCAGCACCCGTCTCTTCGTCGATGTAGGAATCTCTGCCTTCTTTGGGGTTAGGGCCTGTGGGCGGTTCTTCGGGCTCACGGTCTATGCATAGGGTTTAGGGTTTGGGGTTTAGGGTTATAGGTTTTAAGGTTTGGGGTTCAAGTGTTAAGGTTTGAAGTTCAAGGTTTGAGTTTTGGCGCAGGAATCTCCGCCTTCGCTCGGACGACTCGCCCAACTGCGAACGCCATAGACCTTCCTCGATTCAGGTGGCAGGCGGGGCAAGAACACCCAAAACCACCCCCTTTAAGAAATGAACGACCTTCCCACCTTACCTATGAACATCTAGCAACCTAAACCCTAAGCCCTGATACCTACTAGTACCTAGTAACTCCTGGGTCCTAGACCCTAAACCCTAAATATCCTAGACACTAAATTGCTAAACCCAAAACCCTACACCCCAAACCTATACCCTGAACCCTAAACCCTATATCCTAAACCCAAAACCCTGAAACCCAGTCCAAGCATCTTCAAACCCAAGCCCAGCGCCGCCCGTCGTGCACAGCAGCGGCCAATATCCCCAAAGCCGCACACCGCCATCCTTGCTTGAGGCGTTCGTTCTTTCCTATGAAGGATCCCTTTAAACTTTAAAGGGATCTATACGGATTCTATGAGGGTTTAGGGGTTTGGGGGGGTTTAGGATCAAAGGGGAAAAGGAGGGACCCTTAAGGGGGACCCCTAGCCTATAATGGGCTATATAATGGGTATATCATAGCTATATGAACCGTATATACCTAGGGGTCCTTATTAAGGGTCCCTCCTTTCACCCTTGGATTTTTTCTGCAGGAACGACAACAGCACCCTTTTTGTGGCCCAACTACTGGGAAACCCAAACGTACAGCAAGCAGCATGGCTGGCATTGATCGAGTTTGGGGGCTTATGCTTTTGGGGCGAAAACTTCGTAAGTAGTACTGTGTTGGATTTCAGTGATTAAGTTACAGCGATTCAAGGAAGTAGTTTAGCTGGACAAGGTTTCAGAATCAAAGCACTGAATTCCGGCACAGCCAGCGAACGAAGCTTCCTGATCATATCAGTAGCTGAAAGCAGCGGTTCGGCTGTACGGCTTGGCACTTCCGGTTGAGGCGGAGGGTTGCAAGCATAATATCGGGTGCCGTAGTCGTTAAGACAGAGTGTTGGTGATATTGTCACATGACTACAAATCTACTAGATAGGGAGCGTCGGTACTCAGTATGAGGGCCCCCAACAAAGCAGGCAAGCAAACATGAAGACACTATGAAGACACATAACCCCTACGTGGGACTTCTGGTACTAGTTATCTATTCCAGCCCCCATATTATGGGGTTAGGCTTGCAGCACATGGGAGTCAGATAGGGTGTAGGGTAGTACACGTCAGGTGCAGGGTTTAGGCTCGCAGGCTCAGGTTGTGTGGCCCAGTGATTACAGTGTTTAGCATGTATTTACGGTTGCGCTAAACTTCTCGGGACTAAGACGGAGGGGCAAGCAAAACGTTCATGATAAGATCCACTACAAGCGTTCCGTCTTTCTGCGATACTGTCAAGGAACACGGGCTGCGAGTTCCCTCACCGTGACAATGGCTTCTACATACTTACCTTGTACTTGATTACTACGTCACATGATCCTGCTAACTACCTTTTGACTGTGCCAAAACCCTGGCAACCACCCCAATTACTCCCTTAACCCCTAGACCGTAATATAGACCCTAAACCCTGCCACAAACTAAACTCTAACCCCCTGAACTATAGACCCTAAACTTTAAACCCCCGAGCTCTTACCACTCGAACCTGTGAAGCTTGGCATCGTCATTGAGAGCGTCGAGGGCGAAGCGAAGCCTAGTTCATGGTTGGGATAGGACTAAAAATTAAAACTCTTATTCCTTATTGGGTTTATAGTACCCATAAAAATGTAAAATGTTACCCAACTATGACACAGAAGCGATCCCACCTCTGCTCCCGTCGGTTCGTTAGAAGCTGCGACACCTGGAAAGGCCATTTGACATCAAAAACAGCGAATCCTAAACCCTACAACTTGAAAAACTGGGTTGGCCTTTAAACACCCTGAAAAAATTCTATTTGTAGGGCCCCTTATAAACCTAAATAAGGAAAACAGAAAATCAGCCTAGAAAAGGGAAGCCTCGAATGCACGAGTAGGATCACCTGTTTTCTGAAGCTTCCCTGTAAGTCTTCAGAACTGACATATCCAGATTTTACAGAGCTGGCCGCGAGACCGTTCGCCTGGGGTTATTTCTCAAGGGCTCCACCTGTCCCAGTCTTAGTAATCTCATCATAAACCCTAAACCCTAAACTCAGTACCCGCAGCAACGAAACCATGCTCCAAGTGAAAAAACAGTCCGAAGCCTCACCTATGACGGTCAGATCGACTACATGTTGAGGCCTTGGCGCTCGGTTTAGGGTTTAGGGTCTCTACAAACCAAAGAACCCTAAACCCTAAACCCTAAAGATGCGAAAGCAGAGGTCTCCGAGCCGGAAACTCGATGACAAACCTGAAGTTTTGCCCAGTATAGGGTATAGGGTTTAGGGTTTTTAGGGTTTAGAGTATAGGGTTTAAGGTTTTTAGGGTTTAAGGTTTTAGTGTTTTAGGGTTTAGGGTTTGTGTCTTCAGGTGAACTGGAGGTTAACCTTTGGGATTAAGTGGAGGGTACTGTATCACTCACCCAAAACGGCAACTCTACTACTAAGTCAATGCATACTTACTAAAGACCCATGCGGGCGTCGCTCAGCTCTGACCCCTAAACACTCAAGCCCCAAAATCACGAAATCCTACCGTCATGAAGTTTTGAACCCTCGAGGATGAAGCGACTCGGCAAGTAGCTTGTAACTGGGATGGGGGCTTATACGGTGTTCATTATCCTACAGTAATTGGAGTTCTTCAAAGTAAAAACCCTACGTATCAGCTGCCTATGAAGCCCCCTTACCCCAAGACCAAAATCTGAAATTCTGCACCTAAAACAACCAAAGGCCTACCCCCAGATCCCGAAATCCTGGACCCAGGTAACGTAGGGGCCTTAATACTCAGAACAGGGTCTTGGGGATCCAGACTACAACATACCCCACAAACCCTAGTCTAATTCTTAAGGCCCGTACACTAAACCCATAGAGAAGCCCCTGTACTGCAACCCTTATAGACCCCTGAGCAAGGAACCCTGTACAGGGACCCTATTCTAATTCTTAAGGCCCCTACATTAAGCTACTTACAGCCCGCTTCCCACATCCGAAGAAAGGCGCCTGGCGGTTGAAGTAGAGGATGCTGAGAAGGACATGCCTTCGATGCGGGCTTCTTGTGTGGGGTTCAGGTTTTGATGCTGCTGGTGATGCTGGCGGCGCCGGCGGTGGCTGCTGCTGTGGCTGCGGGTAAGACTGTGATATGTTTGCTTCCGGTCAGCAGAATGGCGACAAAAGGGTGAATTTGTTCATGCGGCGGTGTGTGAAAGCATAATAAATAGCTGTCCGTGCTGCGGGTGGCGCTAAGAGCGCTTGGCGGTCCAATCACTTTCAAGTTCGTCTGTGGAAACTCTACCAATAGCATACCCTAACCCAGAAATCTACTGAAGCCTAAACTCTCAAGAGGCACATTGGCAGCTTGAGAAACACAACGATCGACATGAAGTCGGAAGTCTTAACGTAAACCCCAAGCACTACGTGCAAAGCCACTAATCACTAAACTTAACCAAGCCCACTGCAACTGCAACTCCTTGATGAACCCCTCACTTACCGGTAAACCCTAAACCTGAACCCTAGTCATAAACTCCGCCTGGCGGCTGGGCAAGCATCTCTGCGAAAATGGACCGAGTGTTGGACAGAGGGATGCCGTGCTTTCCGAGGATGCTCTGCAAGCGCCTTCATTGCGACTAACCCCTAAACCCCTAAACCCGAACCTAAAACCTAAAACCTAAACCCCTAAGCCCTAAACCCTGTCTCAGGACTTGAACTCTGACATTCCCTAGGCTCAGTTGAGCCCGGGTTCTAAGGTTTTGGAGCTGGCATTGGGATGTGGTTTAGGGTTTACAGGTTTAGGGTTTAGGGGTTTTACGGGTTTAGGGTTTAGGGGTGTAGGGTTTATATTATAGGGTTTAGGGGTTTAGGGTTTAGGGTGTTGCCCCAGGATCAACCCTTCTGTTAGGCTTTAGGGTTTAGGGTTGAAGTTACTGTGCAACGAAGTCGGGTTTCAGGTTCAAGACATCGGCCTTGGCTTCGAGGGGCCTAGCAGGCATGTTGAAATGCAGGCTGCTTCAGGGTTAGGGTTTAGGGGTTTAGGGTTTAGATTTAGGGCCGCGTTGGAGGTTTGAAGTTGGTCTTACTTGTAACCTTACTTATGACCTTCTTACGAAGTCCCGTAATCTTGCGAGGCGTCAACCACTAAACTCTGAACCATGAACCGCCCGAAACCCCAAAAAATCTTAAACTCTTACCCCTACAGCCTAAAGCCCTAAACGCTGGACCCGCTCAGGCCTTATAGGAATTGATAGCTTCTATACATCCTCCGCCCAGACACCCCGAAATCCCCTGATAGATCCCTGCTCCCACCCACCCACACACACACCCACACCCACACCCACACGCACACCCACACGCACACCCACACGCACACGCACACGCACACGCGCACACGCACACGCACACACGCACACACATGTGCACATGGTCACCACACGCGATGAGTAGATGAGGCCTCGACAGCGGCCTGAGCTGCGCGCTTCTCCTGGAAACAGAATGTGCTCGTATGCCCTCCCCACACACGCGCACACGCTCACCACACGCAATGAATGTCTGGCCGAGGCCGCTACCGCGGCCTCAGCTTCGCTCTTCTCCTCGAAAAGAATGTACTCGAATGCCCTCTCCCAAAAACGCATCTCCCGCCATGCCTTTTCCATCTTTTTGCGCATTTCTTCCAGTCGCTCCTCCTTCCAACGAATCAAACGAACAAAACAAACACCGCGAGAAAACCCAACCCACTGAGGCCCGAGCATTTTGCTTCGCTTTGTCGACCAACCTCAACGCAAGTTGTATCAACACGACAGGCATGATAAAACGGCAACCGGGCCACGAACCTGTTGAAGGTGCTTTCGGTCACGCAGTGTGTGACGGAAATTGGATCGCATACAAAGGAAAGAAACAACCAACGAAAACAAGCCGATCCACCCCCCCGTCCCCCCTCCCCCCCCGGGCCAACGGTGATGAAGACGATGCAGTACTTCGCCTCCGAGGCGACAGTAGGACAAGAGATTTGTCACGCAGAAACTGGGCGCCGAACGTGCTCGGCGAGCTTCATAGCCTACCACGAGAAAAAAGAAAGAAAAGCAGCCGCCCCTCCCTGTATGTCCCTCTCTCACTCCCTCTCCCTGTCTGTATTCTCGTTTCGTGCACCCTCTCCCAGCCTCTTTCTTGTCCGCCCGGCGGCGGCGGAAAGCACTGTTACGTTCAGCCATGCCCTCAGCTACACTTCCATGTATTGCGATGAAGTCCCAACGAACTGAGACCCCGACGCATTTCCAGCAGAGGCCCGTTTTAGTGCGGCTGGATCGCATGCCACCGCACACGCTGAACTCAGTCCACAAGACACCGGCTTTCATCATCACCGACCCTTCCCCTCCATCCCTGCCCCAACTGAAGCCAGGACGTTTTTGCACTCCTTCTGGGCAGCTCCCTCACTTGCGGCCTTGCCCTCCATGACCTGCACAATTCTACTTCTTATACCTTCCTCTATCTGCTCTCCTGCCTACATCTAAAAAGACCGAGACCCCACCGACTTGAAGAGGAAAAAAACTGAGCGCTAAGGAATCGGAGCCAAAGACTCACATATTCAGAAGCATCACCCTCTCCCTCCATAACTTCCCCTCTGTCCCTCCCTCCCTCCCTCCCTCCCTCCCTCCCTCGCTCTCCCTCTCTCTCTCTCTCTCCCTCTTTCTCTCTCTCTCTCTCTCTCTCTCTGTCTCTCTCTCTCTCTCTCCCTCTTTCTGTCTCTCCCTCTCTCTTTCTCTGTGTGTGTGTTTCTCTTTATGCCGTCCTCTCTCCCTCTCCCCACCTTCGGTACATCTTGCAGTACCCTGGTAGATCCCTTACAGGAGCCTTGTTGCGAAGCCTTTAAAGGGGACCATTTAAGGGGCTAGCCTTTTACGGAGCCTACTAGCGCCGCTCCGAGGACTTGGTAATACACTGGGTACTGCCCCCACTCAGTAACAGTTGAATAATACTCAGAATATCAAGCCAAGGAAAAAGATCAGGAATAAAACCATATTATCAGTACCGAAAAGGACATACACACAATTCTTCATCCCTAGAGTACTGTAATAGTAGCCCTATTATAGACTGGCACTGTATCGGGGGGTACCTAAGTAATATAATGATATAGATCTGTAACATGTGATATGGTGTTCTTATCATGGTAACTTATCATCTACTGCATGTACTATAGATCCTAACTATGGTAACTTAAACTAAACTGCGACAAGAAACCAGAACCTCAAAAGAGCCTACATAGGGATCCAAGAAGCATCTAAACAAAGCGGAATATCCTACAATCCCCTTTCTAGACTAGACAAAGATAGCAAAAAAGGTTGGGATATCCCGCGCAAAATCAAAAGTTCATGTGGGGGTATTTTCTTGCTTCCTAACTACAGCATTCTCCGTAGGTATGACCGCCAAGGTGCGAGGGGTTGAGAGAGTCCACACCGGTGAACCTCAGTTTTCCACTACCAGCTCTGTCGGAGGGCTCCAGGGTTTTAGGGTTTAGAGTTTAAGGTTCAGCGTATTGTGCAGGTCTTACGAAGGGTGTTGTTGGGGCTTTTTTCTGAAAGATGCCACCCCACAACAAAACGGTACCTCCGAAAGGCTTCACAAGTTACATGCGCGTTGCTGGGCTTTTTCGGCAAAGACTAATATGGCAAACGGGCGCTACTACCCTGAATCCTAAGTCCAAACAAACTGCGAGGAATAAGGGCGCTACTAGGAAGACTAGGCACAGCGAGTGGACCAACTTTACGCGCGTCGAGGCCGACGGGAGCCGGTCTTCTGTATCCTGGGTTGACTTAAGGTCTAGGGTGAAAGGGCTTAGGGTTTAGGGGTTGTAAAAGAACTATAGCACCCTTAGAACCACAATAAAATTGGCATTTTTAATATTCTCTTGAGCTTTATATGACCAAAACTCAAAGAAATAATTCCTAAGGAGACTATAGAGAAAGTCACATGCTTTCCTCACAACTGAAGCTCCCAAGGATCCGATCCTCGGGCTTTCTGCTTCTTTTGTGGCGGTTCCGTCGGTGCTGATGATGGTAAGCTCACCAAGTATTCCAGGACCTGCGCCGTAAGCATTGGCACTAGCTGAGGCTTGAAGGTTTCAGACATCGTGAGCGGTGTTTGGCTCTTCCAGGGTTAGGATTCAAGAGGTACGAGATATGAGAAGCTCCGTTCCATGAGTTCTCAGTGATAAGACGCAAACGCAAGTCCTACATAGTATGAGTGCAGACTAGGGGCCACTTAATTCTCTGAAGCTCCCCTCTGCTAATCATCCTATCGAGCAGGGGACTTAGCAAGTAGGGATAAATCTTTACTATCTATACCACCTTAGAAAAATAATAAACACAAAAAAATTAATATTCTCAATAGAATATGATTCCGAAGGAGACTCTAGAAATACCCAAACCTTGAATCCTAAACCCCAAATGAGGCACTTATGACCAAAAGGACCCCAAGTTCTCCTGTCAGCAACTCCCGAGCATCTCTCAGCACATTGGGAACGGCAGAGCACCCAAGTCTGAAGCACAGAACCCCTAAACAAAGCCTCGGAAAACTTGACGAAAGCTCTAAACCTTAAACCCCCAACAAAACCTCGGAAAACTCAACGAAAGCTCTAAACCCTCAACCCTAAACCCTAAGCTCGAGCATAAAAGCAACCCCCAAGCCGCAGCTCGATCCTTAAATTCAACCCCCGCAAGCATGATGAAACAACGCCATACGGGTAGCTCTCCAAAAGTAGCGTCCCTCTTAAGGTCCTTCTTACAAGGGTGCCTTACTATAGTTGGGATCTAGAAGGGGGCCCTAATTTAGAGAACTACCCATATATGGGTGGTTGTCAAAATTATGGTCGCTTTTTGGATCCTTCTTATATTACGGCACCTAATATTTAGGGTACCCAAAAGGGGGCCCTAATTTAGAGAATTACCCATAATATGGGTGGTTGTCAAAATTATGGTACCTTTTTGGATCCTTTATATATTACGGCGCCTAATGTTTAGGGTACCCAAAAAGGGGCCCTAATTTAGAGAACTACCCATACATGGAAAAGGAAGGCAGCCCTCGCCTGAAGACGGAGAAGACCTCGTAAATCGGTCTTAAGTAGGGTCGCGAACAAGCTTCCCCCAAATTCTTATACTTCTGACTCTCGGAGGCCTCAAAAGGTGGGATGAAGGTGGGTAGGATTCAGGATCCCTTATACAAGGCCTTTTATTTGGGAATATCCCACCTACCTTCATCCCACCTTTTGAGGCCTCCGAGACTCATGATAACCTACCGTCGCGGTCCCCTGATCCTAAGACCCCAAACCCATAACTCCCATCCTCAACTGCAAACGCCTCCACGCTCTTCGGGCTGCCAGCTAAAACCACGAGATCATCGCCATCGTCAAGGCCGGCGAAGTCCTTTCGGGTTCCGGGTTTCGGATTCGGGGCGTTGGGGTCCTTTTAAAGGGTTACTATAAGGGTACTATAAGGGCTCCTTTAAAGAGCTATATATATATATGAGCCCGATACCTTTAGGGTATATTTAGCTAGCTTTTTATATATGCAATACTAAATGCCTAGTTAAATATTATATCGCATCATATGCGCCGATACGATGTGGATCCGAAATGTTTGCCAATCCCCCGATCCAAAGGTTTTAACCTCCGAAGATCAGAAGGATATCCGTAAACAATTCAAGCTTCGACTCTCGTCTTCTAGTGTGTGCTGCCTACTGGATCAGCTCACGGGCCCCAACAGCAGAGGTCATATACAAGATATTCCTTATCCTGGCCTGTGCACACTTTCTACACAGGACTGATTCATATGCAACCTGTTCTCAGATAATGAACAGCACTAATTAACATGTCATGGCTTGATCGATTAGCCCTTGGTACTCCATAAAGGTCTTGCACCGCAGCCAGCATTTGTGCTGTAGCCATTTAACAGCACCGCCGATTGGCTGAACGCACGAGTTCATGCAGATTGGTTGCGGAGTTACTCAATCAGCTCAAGAGCCTTGACAGTAGCAGTTATGTACAGTGAGTCAACCCAGAGACTCCGAGATAGTGCTTTGGGTAAGCACCTCGAGGTGCCGGACAACACAGGTGGGCATTCGTCCACCATCCCATCCGACTCCAAGGGAGTCCGGCAAACATAGATAGCAAATGGGGAGGGAACCTCCCCCCCTTTCATCCGGAAGGTCTTTCCCTCCTCTCCCTAAAAACCTCTTCGAGGCGGGTCGTGCCACACACGCGACCCTAACTGGATCGAGCGACTCCACGGGAGGCCAGGGCCAGCCAGGGCGGGACTGTGCGTATAATCTCGGAGAGCTCGTGTCCATGAGCAATTGATGCTAACTATCCAAGCGAACAGTGTTGTCCTAGCATGCAGGACTAGGCTGTGTAGCTGAGCTGTGTAGTCCTGACATGTAGGGACAGCCTCTGTAGATAGCCGATGATACCGATGATTCAAGCGAGTATTTTCCCACAAATCAATCACGAGATAGCAAGAGTTTGTCTTTGGCTACTCACGCTAGCACGCAATGTCGTATCGGTGACAGTATTGTGTACTGCATGTAGCAGAGATTGACTGACACTTGGAAAGATCTTGCGTCCGAGAGTCCATCATATGGTATGTGTCCTCGCATCGCGTCGCCTGTCCGGAACGACAAATCAACGTCTGTTCGCAAAGGAAACATAGTCATAGTGTGATAGAACATACAATGCATCAGGCCAAGATGCAGATTCAAACCCTGCATGGATGGATGTTTAGAGCTGCATGGAACGCATAGTTACATCTGTTTCAGGACGCAATGGACAGTGTGCATGGCGAGACACATTCAGCACATACTGACTCGATCACTGGTTTATGCAGCAGGCGTCGTTGCCGTATCGTTCTTTCTTAGGTCGAGCTGCGTTTGACGCCAGCAGTCCTCAGGGTGTGCATCCGTTTGACGGATAAAGGAGTCACCCGCTTTCTCCGGTCGTCCGTTTTCTTTGTTGAACGGACGACCGGCTTCTTCTTGACTGCACGCCTGACGACTCTAGCTTCCACAAGTCTGGCCTTTGCCAGAGGAAGTTCGGCTTTGCACTGTGTGCCGGCGGTCTGTTGCTCAGCACACCATGCACTCCATTCTTCACTGCTCCATATGGACTCATGCAGAGCGCGACCAAGGAGCATACTTGCGCTCACTACATGAGACATCGGAAATTGAGTAGCTAGATAATGTTGCAGTGTCTTGATGTACAAAAAATACTGCAACTTTAATGCCAATGTTGACCTGTGCAGTACGTTGGTGGTTCTGGTCCATGAATTAATTTCAGCGTGCAGGGCTTCATTGCTCGACGTACCACTCGGCAAGAACCAAAGGTACGACGCTCTCATGGAGTGGCGGACCCGAATGTTGTTCATGAGCCACTCCACCCGATCCGGCGCACAGGCTGCCCAGAGTATCTTGTTGATGTCCTTGTTGGGGCCTGCAGCTTTGCGCGTAACCTCCACGACTTTGTACCGGCGACACAATGCAGCCACTGCTTTAATGAAATCAAGACGGCGCATGAAGGGCTTCTCCGGATTCAGATTATCCAATACGCGAGCAGTCTCGCTGTCGGACATGGAACAGTCGAGGATCATGGCCCTGATTCTGGTCTCCTCGTCACCGAGGGGCCTCGCCATGCTACCGTCATAAAGCTGCTGCCAGTAGTCTTTGTCTATAGCAGTGTCCACGGCAATGCATTCATTTCCGGAGAATACGGCGGAGTTGTTTCGAACCGGGATTCTTCTTGTTCCAGAACCCGTACTCATACACTATTGCCAAGTGAATAGGGTCCAGCATGAGGGACTTCAGGTTTTGGCAAATTCCCTTGAGTTCGGCAAGTAACTTTTCTGAAGGACTGTCAGTGCCAACATGATGCACCGAGTTCAACTGCTCCACAGAGAAATTCTGTCGCATAGCCTCGACTATCTGTTCGGAGGACTCGCTCTGGACAAAGTGCATCATGAGGACCGCCCCTGTTCTACCGCGAATCGTTAGTAACCGTCTCCATGCCACTGTATCGTCGAAGGGAGCCTCGTCTCGCACCTGTTTGGGTGCACGATAGGAAGCTTGTCCCATGACTTTCATGCAGAGTTTGAGAGTAGCATCCATACTAATATAATGCCACTCATCGCCGCACACCAGGAATTCCGTCATCTTCTCCATTTTACTCCGGAAAGCTGTTGAGCTGGCAATGTCCTCCAACATAGGCATCCACTGTGGAACCCTGCTGGGGAGAAGAGTGGACAGTAAGCTTCCCGCTTGCATGGCCGCCATGTGACACCGAGTGGCCAGAGTTCTGACCTTAGCATGACACTATCAGAGTATGAGATATATACACGCAAAACATCATACGGTACATCATACGGTACATGGCACAGACACACACACACACACACACACACACACACACACACACACACACACACACACACACACACACACACACACACACACACACACACACACACACACACACACACACACACACACACACACACACACACACACCCCCACACACACACACACACACACACACACACACACACACACACACACACACACACACACACACACACACACACACACACACACACACACACACACACACACACACACACACACACACACACACACACACACCCCACACACACACACCCCACACACACACACACACACACCCCACACACACACACACACCCCACACACACACACACACACACACCCACACACACACACACACACACACACACACACACACACACACACACACACACACACACACACACACACACACACACACACACACACACACACACATAGTATGACGTTTACGCCAGGCACCTGGGCATGTCCCATGACCATCTCACGGATCAACTGATCGGCGAAGGACTGTGTGTAGTAAAGATTGCGTGCTCGACGTACATGCAGCGTGGAACCAATTGCTGATAGATTGACATAGCTAGGTCCTGCTGCATCGAGAACCAGCCTTATCTGCTTGTCTATGTAGCTGATACGCTCTCCGATGGCAGGCTCTATGGTTCTCCGCATCAAGGATGCACTCGTCTGTAAGAAGTTTGAGACAGACGTCTGGGACGATGCAGCATGGTCGTAGAGTGACAGAGTGACTTTGATCTGCTTGGTTCCGGAGTATACGTACTGATTTTTTGCGGTGTGATGCTTCTGCACATGGGTTCGGAGGTATCGAAGTTGAGTGAAGGATCGAAAAGGGCACAGAGGACATCGTCTCCTTCCTTCAACCCTGGGTGACTTGTTTCCCAAATCCTTCAAGACAGCGTCCGTCTCCTCACACAGAGAGCCGATGATGTTATCCGAGATGACTGGGTTCTCGGCATCGTCCTGACTAAGCCTGACCATACCATGGGAAGATCTGCATTTGTCGCCCATGCCCTCATCCGAATCATCCGCCTCAGAGTCCTGAGATGCTCCCGCGGCCATGTCGAGAAGTATAGCAGACTTAGCATCCGTCTTGTCCTTGGTGTCACGTCTCCAATATGTTAAGATGGTAGAACGGTCGACTGCTGACAGACATGCGTCCTGGAACTTCATGATGGACAGCTTGTAAACGTCGGCCCCGTCTATGACTGTGGCAATCTTATTCGTGGTGTCGAAGCGGATAGATACGCAGTGTGGGACTCCGTTACCTTCGTAGTCGTAGTGCAAAAGAAAGTTCTTCAGGTGGTTTGGCGGCAAGCCCACGCACGACACGAGGTCGACTTTCACCATGGCAGCCACAGACCGGTAGCTTCGGTACCCGATCTTTCTTGCATCCACATTCTCCTGCTGTCCGTCATCTTGTACAGCTGACACGATTGCTGCTTTGCTTGTGGGCATGGCGTGCCACATGCTGCAGGGAATGCAGTTTCCACTCACCTTGAGCAAGTCTGGCAGATTCGAGATCTTGTTCACCAGTGTGCCCTGATCGTGTATCAGCTGAATGAAGTTGTAATGTTTCTTTGCCACGACCTTGACATTGAACGAGGTCTGCTTGAGGATCACTTCCTGGCAATCTCGAATGTATTCGTCCACGTTCTCGATGGCATCAGTAGACACTCTAAGACCATCGAAGTGTAAGGACAAATGCTTGGGTTTTCCCCTCAACACGTATTCTGACCACACGTGCAAGATTCTGTCCTCTACAGCATTCCACATGAGCGACATGATCGTGGCTGTTGGAAAGGTCTTGGTCTTGTTGTCAACGAGGCTCCGGTAATCGTCGTGGAGCAAATTGCATGCCACCCATCTCACAAACAAAGCAATCCTCTGCAACTTCTTGATTTCCTCGCAATCCTTCAACTTCTTGGGGGGTGCGCCACCGTTGAAGACAGTGTTGATGACGTCCTTCCCCTCAGCGTGCTGCAGACCAATCTTGGTAATGAAGTCGGAACGTTTCTCGGCAACCTGCTTGAAGACGACATCCAGATCATCGGGAAGAGCGGGATCTGGACTCAGCTTCTGGACAATCTGGTATATGAGCGTCAGACAACAGTTGTGAATGTCCAGGTCTACCGTGTGGCCGCCGACAGCGTGCACTTGAAGTCTCCGGGATATAGACTGGGCACTTCCCACAGAACCGTACCGACGGGCCTGGATGGAGTACTTCTGCTTGGCAGAGTATGCGTACTCGACCTGCTTGATCGTCTTCGCGGATGAATATGTTGCCGCAGCGATCTCCTGCATATTCCTGTCCTCAGGATTGCCATCTTCGACTGACCGTTTCTGTTTGAGGCGTCTTCGCGGCGCAATCACAGCAGCAAGACGTGCTTCATGATCCACAATCTTCCGAATCAGACTCTGATTCTTGGTGAAGAGTTCTTCCTGCTGCAATGATTTTCTACCCTTCTTTGGTGCAGGAAGCATCGACTCATAATACGCCTTCAAGTTTTCTGCATTGGCTGAACGTGCAGCGCAGGACGAGGCGTATTTCTTGACGAGGCCGACGTCGTGCTCTTCTTCAAACTTCAAGCGAGTCTCCTGACTTGGGTATCACCACGCCGGGCTTGTCAGCACATGTTCTTCCCTTCGCAATAGCAGATCTGATCTTACAGTCTCGTGCTCGGGCATCTGGTCCCACAAATCACTTCTTGACAGATTAGGATGTTCGTCAGGCTTCAAATTCAGTTTCTTGAACTCGTAGAAGGACATTACTTCGAAGTCTTTCTCCAGCATCTGCTGTACCAAGTAACGTCGAAGATTATCCCAGGCAACATCTTTGTCTTCACGTTCCGCGGTCTTCCGTTAAGTACCCATCGCCTCCGTTTCAGTAATCCTCGATCAGCTGGTAGCAATCATCTTTGCTGTAATCCCGCTCGAAGGCCCACTGTAAACGTAGACCAGCGATGGAGGCTTGCGACGTGGTCAGAAATTTATTCAAACTCGGATCAGCCTCGAAGATGCCATCTTTTTCATGATACTCGTAATTCGCGAGAAATTTCTTGTGAATGAACCGTGCCTTCGCTTTCAAGACCAGAGACCGCCGGAATATGGAGTTGAAAGTGCTGTTACCCACACCAAGGAATTTCATTATCCGATTGAGCTCCAGTCGAACCCATCCAATAGTGTGGAACATCTTGGTGCTGTAATCGTACGGCTTTCGTCCCATGATCCCATCAGCTGAGATTGTCTTCTTGTAGAGGTCAATGTGAAGCTTCTTACTGCTTTCAGGAGCCTCCTGACCGGTCATGATGAAAGCTTTTGCAAAGGTTTCGACTTGCTTGCGAAGCTCCTCGTCCAGGTACCAGATGTTTGGATCAAAGTACACATGATTGTGTTTGTACATTTCTGATAGATGCAGTGAGTACAGGCTTTGTCCAACACCGCCAGGAGATATCCCTATAAAACATCGGTCCACGTTGAGTCCTCGCTTTGCAATGGCAATGGCAGCCTGGCAGCATCGGAAAACGTCCACGTTACACCAGAAGGTACAGGCATAGAATTTCTGCAAACGCTCCATGTTCACTTGTAGAACAGGATCCAGCAATGGATGTGGGATCTTGATGTAACAGTTGTTTTGAGGCCCCTTTTTAACCACATCTAGCGGATTTCCAGACGAAGGGGAGTCATACACAAAGCATAGGTCGTCGTAGCAGACTGACGCCGACCTCTGGTCCTCCGTCTCGCACCACTCTACCAACAAAGAAACCAATCTGGTCTGCATCAGTTCCATGCGAACACTGCAGGACAACTTCCAAGACTTTTCGGCTAGATCAAGGGTCCATGACTCTGCCGTGTCAGCTGCGCCTCCGTCCCCATGTCCAGCGGGATTGACTTCCTCATTGCCTGGACGATCATCCTCCGACATATCCAGTCTTTGCGGATAAGCAGGTTGCTGGAGTCGTCGGGTCGTGGCGTCACGACACGCATCCAAGAAAGCTTGCTCGGTCTGGAAGGATTGCAGGTCGGACACGATAGCTGCTGCGACCGCCTCCGTCTTACGCTGAAGTTGAGGTCGCATGCGTCGAAACATACCTTCCAAACATGAGATCTGCAGAATATTCGCTGAGAGTCGTGCCGACATTGAAGGCTGGTCAGAAATAGTGAAACAGTTCATGCTGCACGATGATGAAATTCAGCTACTCTGGGACAACAAAAAAATGAGGCCGCCAATTCTGGAACGTGGATGCATGCTATGCTGGAGCATCTGTTCAATGGATATCAGGTTAGACCAGGTGCAATGAAGGGTGAGCTCGATGCTGCAATTGCATTAGTCTGCGAAATGGGTGATGTCGAGGTTTATCGTACGGAGTGGTGCATATACGCTTCACGGGAAGATGTTGCCGGCTCCATTGATTTGGTACTGAAATCTAGTCAGGATGACGCATTCTACCTCGTCGACTGGAAACGCAGCGAAAAGCTGCGGGAGAAATACGTTGGTTATGGCAAGTTCATGAAACCGCCTCTGCATGATCTTGAGGATTGTCAAGGCTGTCATTATAGAGTGCAGCTCAACATTTATATATGGATCCTCCACGTTTTTAGAGTTTCCGAAAAGTATGCGTTGGTTACAGGATTTAAGGCTTCGGGCTCAGGGTTTTATGCGCTTAAGAAGGACTTTGGGGTCTTGCAGTGGTTGAAGGTTTAGGGTTCAGGAGTCTAGTGAGGCTAGTGTACATCTCTGGAAGCGAAACGTCAGGTCCTTTGGAGTAGCATATTGCTAATCATGCTTGTTGACGGCGTGCTAGTAATCAGGGGTCGACATTGTCACTTCGAATTCAACCAAGGGCTTGCTTATACGGCCTTCTAAGGATTCTGTAAACAGTCTGCAACAATTTCATGCCAGTGTTTTGTGCGGTTAGCAATCAGCAGTTAGGGTTTTAAGGGGTTTGGAGCTTTAAGGTTTCCGTGATTTAGCTTTATTGGCCTAAATGTACTTCCAAGCCCTTTTAGGCCTGAACCCAATGCCCTGTTAGCCCTTTGAGCCCTAAACCCTAATCCCTGAACCCGAAAAAGCCTAGACCCAGATAAAGTGCAGTTCTGTGTCTCTGGCCACTGTCACTTGGGTGTTGGGGGGAAGTGTCTTGTGGGCGTGCGTGCATGTGTGCGTGTGTGTGTGTGTCGCTGGGTTCAGATTTTCGGTGGTCATTTGGCATCGTTGAGGGCCACCTATACCCACAGGCTCCATAGTTGTTCCTTCTTGGGATTAAATTATAGGATTCTATATATGAACCACAAAAAGGAACTATGGAGCCTCTATAGGTAGGCCTGGGATGTGATAACGCAATTTGCCTCCCCCTGTCCGTTTAAGATCTCTGCGTAAAGCAGTGTATCCCAATTGCCCCTCCTCTGAAACGACTTGAAAAGAACCCTCATGTGGCGTAAAGAGTTGGGGCCTCAGAACCGCAAGACCTACTATACAAAAGCCAAAAGCCAAAGAGCTTCGGGTTTGCAAGACATAATATACAAAACTCAAATCCAAACAGCTTCGGGTTTCGCCGCTGATCTCAATACAAACTGGCGCCACAAAGTTCTAATACTGACGGTTGGAGGGGCATCAGCGCCAAACATCCATCACATGTCAAGTCACTCTGCTAGGCGACTACCTTCGGCAGAAACGGCCTAGACGACTAGGACGACAGCCTACAAACGAGAGTGGGAAAACCGTGTCCCCAAAGGCACATAGACGAAAAAAACAATAAGCTCCATAAACCCTCTAAAGACCATACTGTAAACCCCATGAATAAACCCTGAACCCTACAAAGTCTTAGAAGCCCTAAAGCAGAGAGGCCGGACACGGGATGCGGCTAAGCCGCTCCCCGGCACTGAGGAGCAGAAAGACCGGAGGTTGATCAGACATATCAGATCAAAACTGAAATCTGTGAGATATGAGCCGAACTCGCAGAGAGAGAAATGGCCAAGCAACAACTTGTAACAAATATAACATTGTTGAGAAGCGTGAAGCGCAGTGTCACGTGTGGAAGTAACCTTGCATTAACTAAGGCTGCAACCTTCAGCAACCCACTGAAACCATGAAGTCACAAGCAGTTCTCACTTCTAGTCGGAAACGACTTCTACACATGGCGCAGCTGATCCTGGACCGCACTGCTGTCGCCACCAAATCCGGCCATCCCCCAGGTCACGACAGATCCATCGTCCAGGATTGCAGAAAAAGAACAATCGGAAGCTTGGATGTGCTGCACATTCTTCAGCTGCTCTTGGACGGCACTGCTGTCGCCACCAGCAAGGGCACTGCCCCAAGTGACCACAGCTCCATGACCCAGGATTGCAGCAAATGCGACACGCGAAGCCTGGATTTGCTGCACATTCTTCAGCTGCTCCTGGACGGCACTGCTGTCGCCACCACAGTCGGCACGGCCCCAAGTGACCACAGCTCCATCACTTAGGATTGCAGCAAATGCACCACCAGAAGCTTGGATGTGCTGCACATTCTTCAGCTGATCCTGTACCGCACTGCTGTCACCACCATATCTGGCTTTCCCCCAGGTCACGACAGATCCATCGCCCCGGATTGCAGCGAAAACACTATCAGAAGCTTGGATTTGCTGCACATTCTTCAGCTGCTCCTGAACGGCACTGCCGTCGCCACCAAAGTCGACACCTCCCCAAGTGACCACAGCTCCATCACCCAGGATTGCAGCAAATGCCGTGTGAGAAGATTGGATCTGCTGCACAGTCTTCAGCTGCTCCTGGACGGCACTGCTGTTGCCACCATGGTCGGCCCTACCCCAGGTGACCACAAATCCGTCACCCAGGATTGCAGCAAATGCGACACGCGAAGCCTGGATTTGCTGCACATTCTTCAGCTGCTCCTGGACGGCACTGCTGTCGCCACCACAGTCGGCACGGCCCCAAGTGACCACAGCTCCATCACTTAGGATTGCAGCAAATGCACCACCAGAAGCTTGGATGTGCTGCACATTCTTCAGCTGATCCTGTACCGCACTGCTGTCACCACCATATCTGGCTTTCCCCCAGGTCACGACAGATCCATCGCCCCGGATTGCAGCGAAAGCACTATCAGAAGCTTGGATTTGCTGCACATTCTTCAGCTGCTCCTGGACGGCACTGCTGTCGCCACCAAAGGCGACACTACCCCAAGTGACCACAGCTCCATCACCTAGGATTGCAGCAAAGGCACAAACAGAAGCTTGGATCTGCTGCACATTCTTCAGCTGCTCCTGGACGGCACTGCTGTCGCCACCATGAGCGGCTCTATCCCAGGCGACCACAGATCCATCATACAGGAGCGCGGCGAATGCAGAGAAAAGGTTGCCTTTCCTGGTGGCTTTAAGCTGGACTTGGTTCACATGTAGAGTGAGCACGTCTCCACTCATCAACTTCGCTTCTGCAATAGTTTGTGATCCGCTCAGCGCCTCTCCAGAGGAATTCAGCAGCCTTCCTCTACCCACGACCAGGACACTCTGGGCACGAAGCTTCAATGACTCAACAGATGCATCTGCCTCCACTTCCAGACAGGCACTCTTGCCGCTCAGCAGATGCACGTGCACAGAAATCGACATGATGCTTCGCAGGGTGGTCGCTTGATGCAGGACCCAAGACTACAGCCTAATTGATCATGACATTCAGGAGCCCCATTTTCTAGAAGAGGATTTTAGTGTATCTTTGTGTATACTTCTACTCAGCGAAGGAAAATCGTTGGCAAACTTGCCTGCCACTGAACCCTAAAC